CACACACACACACACACACACACACACACAAACACACAGAAACACAAACACACACACACAACTGAAAAGAACGGTTCAAGAAAAAAAAGGGGGGGGGGGGACCTAAAATCTTGACCATTTTTATCACACCTCAAACGTTGTTCACAACTTAAATAGACCAGCTGCTCATAAGTATAATAATGTTGTTATTACATTTATATGAATACATTATACAGATGATGGATATTCTTCGTTGGGTTCATAGCCCTCCCTAGGCTGAGTGCTGCTTGAGAGAAGATAGTACTTCTCGATATGTGAGGCAGCGTGGTGGAATCAGGCTCTCGTCAATTTTTGGGCATGTAGAGTTACTAGTATCATCTTAAAGCTTGTTCACTTGTCTTTACGTGGATGAAAAAATATCCATTTATCTTGAATACAAGTCGAGATATTTACGAATGAAGGAGATGGGGGTCATCTGTTTTCAGAGATAAAATTAGTGAGAAAATATCCTCAAAAGATTAGTTATTTCCTTAACTTTAGAGTCCGGGTAACTGAAAATTTACATTTTTTGTGCCTTTAATCAACATTTTTAAGAAAAACCCTCACAGAAATGAGTTTTTTAATGGACATGAAAGGTGTTGAGCCAAAAAACAAAAATTTGATAAAAATCCACAAACCTGCGGAAAAATGCAAGTTTCTTCTCTTTGATTATTTTGACGAGAGCCTGATTCCACCACGCTGCCTCACATATGTAATGGAGATGTAACATACTCTGATTGCCAGATCGAGCTTTTAGTTTCGTACTATTTCAGCCAAGCTACAATTGAACTATGGTTATTAACGATTCCGAGTTTTCTTTTATTCTTTCGGTCTGAGGGTTTTAAGATATATTCGTGGGCTATGTTTGTTTGTTTTGTTTTTTGTTGAGGAAAGAGAAGCACATTGACACAGTAATTGTCACTCAGTGCTGGGAAAAAGTAAGGCAGACAGACAGAAACAACAGAGGGGAAGTTAAGAAGTAGGACCCACCAGTGGCGCCCTCCAACCACCCACCGAAAGTTAGAAGTCTCACTAGCAGGTCACATATTATACAGACAAGAAGGAGGAAAGATTAGTGCGATAATATAATAAATATGTTTGAAAGAAAAAAAAGAAGAAAATCATATCAAAGCACCCGCCAACCACTCACGAAATAAAAGGTAAACTTGGATTTAGTATGTTGTACAACAACAACAACGACAAAAACAACAACAACATCAACAAAAACAACAACAACATTATGAACAGCAACAAACACTATACGAACATCACCACCACCAACAACAACAAAATCAAAACCCGACCCAAAAAAAGAGCAATAACAAAAAGACAGCAAACACAAAGCAAAAAAAGAAACAAACAAAAAACCACCAAAAAAAATTAAAACAAAACAAACGAAGTAAAAAGCATAAATGAGAGCGTATACCGCTCAATCCAATCTCTCCAATAAAACCACAAGACTGGAAAGAGAATCGAACATCCGGTTGCGAGGAAGGGGAGAGAATAGAACGGTTGGGGCCATCCTCACAACGGGCAACGTCATGGTGAAAAGGGAAAAATGAAGGTGTGTGTGTGTGCGTGTGTGTGTGTGTGTGTGTGTGTGTGTGTGTGTGTATGTGTGTGTGTGTGTGGGGGGGGTGTGATACGGTGAAGGACAAGACAAGGGAATAGAGAAAAGGGTGGGGAGGGGGGAGGTGAAAGACAAGGCAAGGGAGTAGAGAATAGGGTGGGGAGGGAGGGGGAGG